TCTCGATTAGGGGTAACAGGTGTAAATAAGTAAGTAAGTAAGTAAGTTCTTTCATAAGTCTTCAAATCTTCACAACACTCTGATCTCCCCATGCATTCCGATCCGATTCTCTTCCCTGCAATAGTAATTTCTAGACGATTCTCCGTTGCACACGTCGTAGAATTCATGTTGCAACTAGTATCGACCACTATGTCACATATACGAAATAGTATGATTTCGAAATCTGCATTGGATGTTTTTAAAATAGTTTTAAGGAAAAAACAGCCACCACTCATTATCAGATTCTTTGTATAGTGTGAAGTTCCATGATTATCGTTCGATTATAACCGATAAAATAAGGCCTACAAGTAAATTAGAACACATGATCTGAATTCCATTAATAGCTGTCATTGAACTTTGCTTAACAAAAATTAAGTAAGAACTGTTAGATACTACGGTTGTGGACTTTTACATTGGTTAAAAATTCAAAATATGTCAAGAATTTGTCATTTATAAAAAGGAAAGATTAATTAAAAAGAGTTACAATCAATATTGTACGTATAATTAAGAAAACAACTCCTCCTTGACTCCATCTAGGGTTACGGCCGGTTCTAAGCATGGATAAAGGAGGAGGGTTGGGCGATCTCATCCTGTATAAAAAGCTAACTCGCTAAAAATATACTAACCAGAAAAAATAACTCAGAGGTAAAATGTCTTCATTTAGAAAAGTTATGACATCTCATGATGAAAGCTGAGTTGCTTCGGTTGTATGGAGAAGAAACTGGGAGAACTGTGAAAGCCACTAGTAAGAAACTATACAAGTGTTTATCAACAGATGCCTATGCAAAGTACTTCGGATCTGTTGGCCAGACATTATCAGTAACCACCTACTGTGGGAGAGAACAAATCAGATTCCAGCAGAGGAAGAAATCAGGAGTAAGCATCGGAAATGGATAGGACATATATTATGGAAAGCAGTAAGACTGAGTTACAAAACAAGCCCTCACTTGAAAGCATCAAGGTCAAAGGAAAAGAGGATGATCAAATAATTATGGACTTAAAGCTGTAGAACCGGAGATAATGAACTGAATAAAATCTATTTATTATATATATAATCTTTATGTTTGAAAGTGCTTCTTGTTGGTTTCAAATCAGTCAGTGAGCAGTAATGTATAACTTGGTGAATACGTACATATGTTCAGCTTGCCATATCATATTGGCATAGAGACGCGATTGTCAGTTCAAATCCCATAGTAGTAGAGGTATTAGCGGTACCAGGGGTAATCGGAAAGATCAGGGATGTAAGATATTATTCAAGAAGGATAATTCAGTAAAAGATGGAGGTGATGAGGAATTCAGAAGACAAGAATTTGAGGGAACACAAAGAGTGGATGCACTTACGCTATTGCAAACAATTTCGAGCCATGTCATTCAAGGTCTCTAATTATCAGATACTATCTTCTCGCGGACCCCAAACAGGTAGTCTACATCTACCAATGTGACTCAGTCCACTTGTCATTGACTTCATGGATTTGTGCCATGTTTTGGTCTGAACTGCCCTAGCTTTCTGACAGACTGCTTCTACATCAGACAACTAAGCTCACTGAGGTAGTCGGTGGTTGGGGATGCTTAGCACATTTTTCAACCACCTCAACTGATGAAGATTTATTACTTCACCGATTAATCCTCACCTTTTGCCATTTTCCTAACACCAGGAATGTTTACTCGGTGCTCCCAGGATATACGAGCAATGCTAACAAGATACCCATGATGGAATACTAGTAATCAACGAATATCCTCGATCCTTAGTAGAGCAGGGTTGCGGTTGGCAGACGGATACCCTGCCTACACCACAAGTGACACACTCTCAGAAGCCAGCTGGACCTTCCATATCCCTGCCGCGATTTCGACAGACATTAGGGCAATCAGTACAGATGAGATTCGCAAGATAAGTGAAGAAGTCAACACGCTCAATTACTTCACTGCCTATCACTAGTTCAGGTACCGACATAAGCCAATCCTGAAGCAATCAAACAGAACTATTGTGGTGCGCGCTACTTATAAGTAGTATATGACGTGAGTGTCAACGTAATTTCTGGTTGCAGAAGATGGGGGAAAATCAAGAGGAAGGAAGAGCGGGAACACAATAGAATTTTATGAAACGCATGAATAGTGAATAGTCAGACAATGAATTGATGTTGTTTGCAACAGGAACAGTCCAGTTCGACATGATGGATTGATATTTTGCAAACTAACGATTTACGATATGGTTTTCCTATTTTACCAATTAACTCTGTAATTTGAGATAAATACAATTCGGTCGCCCTCACCTGTGTTCACCTTCACTACACCATGTGTTCAAATAGATGGTAGTTTTATAGGATAATCTATTCACTTATTGATACTTTGCACAATGTTCATTATTTAGAAAGTTATAGTTTTAACTGAAGTGTTTCAGCTTCTTGTTTGAATCAATTTAATTTTGTAGTATCAATTTACAACTTATCGTAAGTATATATCTACTTTTTAAAAAACCGTAACAGTTTATTGAATGTTTCGAAAGTTAAGCAATCATTCACTGATATATATTGATTGGCTTGAACACGTTTTTTTTTAGAAAAACTAATGAACATCCACATGAATTATTTGAATATATATTCACTTAAAACAATCGATCATAATCAATCAACGTTCAGTTGTTTGTTTATTTGACAAATTTTGAAATCGGTACATATTTATCTGATGACTCATGTTTGTTTTTTTAATGTTAATTTATGTAATAGTGTGGTGTGTGCTACTTATACGAACGATATAAGTAGTATAAGAAGGGACGTGAAAGAAGAAGTCTCACAGTCAGAAGAGGAAAACGGAAAGTAAATGAAGCAAAAGCACGAAATGAATAGAGTACCAACAGGAAGTATAAGAAGCAACAGCAGGAATGGAAGAAGGATGGAGCGTTGGAAGTCACGACTCAAAGATGATGTGCAAATAGAGTGTTCAATGTAATGTTTTCGTTTTTAATTGACTAAGAGTGTAAATTTTCCAGCAGGTACAAACACTGGTCAAGATTACGCCCAACCCAGATTCTACTACTCGTCACTATTCACCACTTTTTGTAATGCTTATCGCTTGATGAGATTATATCAAAGAAATCTGCACAAGATGTATATCCACCTAATGAGACTGATCAATCGCAGTCCTAATTATCAATAGGAATGTATTGTAAAGTACATGTTGGAAGAGTCAGGAATCGTTTTTTTACCCAGTTATATAACGGTATGGTACGTTAAGTTTGCTATTAATATGTATACAGATTAATACTATTATTAATATTATGACGAGGAATTGTTGGGGACGTTAGATCCCTAGAACTCATTTGGAAAAGGTTCTAGTTTTGAATTTTTTATGTTTCCGCGCATTGACTGCTTAGTTGACCTTCAGCTTACATTTCCAACTCGGAAAATCCTTGACTGTCATTGGTTGAGGGATTTTTTTAGTATGCTATTTTTGTGGCTCTTCCAAGTATAAATCAGCTCGATTTATGTACTTTTCGACCTCGTATTTCTGGGTGCTTGTAGAATAACACTTTCTACGCCTTATCAAGACTTCTTGATATAGTTAGCCGGGCCGGGGACAAACAGATTAGAATAGCCTATCGTGTCACTGCATCATTTGTCTTCGCTCCGTTTACCGAGTAAGGTGAACTCGTAAAAGTTCAAGCGTATCAGTTGACGAGCATTTCAGGAATATAATGCGTTTAGTAAAAACAGGTGATCGGTCCCTTATATTCGAGCAGTTTGATAGAGTGATGACTATTCGTTCATCTAAACTTTTTAGATGACTACCTACAGTTATATACTCTACCTTTCCAAGCGTACATATGACCATTTATAAAGACAATCCTATGTCATGTGTGCAAATAAGTATATTCTAACTTTAAAAGTTTAAATTGAAAACTGCCATTTTTATCTGTAAAAAAACACAATATGAGGTCAAGGAAAATATCTTGTTTTTATTGACCTGACTACTTACTTATTAACAACCAATAAAAATCGAGTAAATAACAAATTGACCAATCAGAAATCAACAATAACCAGTAAAGGTCAAATGTTGTTGTATATTGATCATTATTTAGTTTAACCGAATGGTAGGTAATATTCACTTGCTTTTCAATCTAAATTTATTAAATGAATATTTAAAGTTTTATTCATTCATAATATTTTCAATTTATTTCATATGGTGTCTGGATTTTAAGCTTTTCAAAATTAATCCTATTCTACGTTCATTGGTACGATATTCAGGAAAGGTAAGTTCATTATTTGGAGATTTTATTATTTTTATAATTAACTAATTCAATTTTCAATGTTGAAATTTATAAAAATGTGTTTAATTTTTAAAAGTTTGATTTATCATGGATTGTAATGAGTCATAGATAACAACTA